TTTAAAAAAAAATTTAATTTGCATCGGCAACGGTCCGTGGATAATTCTTTGCAAATCAAAACGCCCGGATGTCCTTCATAGGTACCGCTGCGTTTCGCTGTACAGGGGGGGTTGTGAAAAGAACGGATTGCATCATCTGTTCCTGGTTTTTTTTTCTTCCCACAATGCCCTGAGACTGACATCCACACCAGGGCATTCTGGGATAACAATCCCCCCCTCCCTCCTTGAGAGATCCTCATTTTTCCCCCCTTAGTGCCCCAACCTTTTGGACTTCAGAGATCACTAACGTCATAATTTTAAATCCCGCGGACCATTAATATGATCTGCCTAATGACCGGCTGGGTGGGCATGGCTAGATGGTCATGTGACTGGGTGGGTGTGGCCAACTTAATGTCACTCACATCAAGGGGCACCTCGCTGGCCTCTCCTTGCCCCTCCCCTGCCAGCCACTCCTCGCCTCCCCACCCGGGCTCCTTAGGGCCCCAACAGGAAGCAGTTGTTGGAGCTAAGCAGCCACCACGAGAAAGAGTTGGCAAAACAGCTGGCTCAGTTCAAATTGGATCTGACCAAGAAGGAGGTTCAGCAGAAGCACCTCACTGAGGACTAGGAGCATAGGCTTTCCAAGCAGAGGGAAGACCTGTGGGAGTGCAAGGCCTGGAGGCTCAGAGGGCTGAGACGGTCACCCAGTTCCAGGCCATGAGTCACTCCCAAGTTGCTCTTGGTTCGCACCGGTTCGCAAGAACTGGTAGTAAAAATTTGTAGTAGTTCGGAGAACCGGTAATAACATTGGCTAGCCACACCTCTGAACCGGTCGCGGCCCGGTCACTGCTCGCTTACCCCGCCCACCTCATCAGAGGCTTTTTTATTTTATTTTTAAAAACATTTTTTCTACAACTCTTTGGCCAAAAAAATGCTTTTAAAAGTTTTAAAAAAAAAGCCTCTGATGATCTCACACCTCAGCTGGGATCATCAGAGGCTTTTAAAAGCATTTTTTCGGCCAAAGAGGTTGTAGAAAAAATACTTTTAAAAGAAAAAAAAGCCTCTGCCGATCAGGCAAGTCAGCTGGGATCGTCAGAGGCTTCTAAAAGCATTATGGGAATTTTGCAGTATCCTTCCCCCAAGAGTGGGGAGGGAATGGGGATTTTGCAGTATCCTTCCCCTGCCATGCCCACCAAGCCACGCCCACAGAACCGGTAGTAAAAAAATGTGGATTTCACCACTGCTTTGACTGGAGCGTCTTCTTTTGGAAAACCAGAGGGAAATTTCCCCCACCTTCCTCCCCGAGAGACTCCCTTCTAAAGTTATGAAACTTTTTTGTTCGTTTCCAGGAAGACCAAAGATTGACACCTGCCTTACTGAGTCGTCGTTGCAGGCAGGTAGCGTCTCTTTTCCAGAAGGCTTGGAAGCTCCAGGGGATTTCTCCCGGGGGGCTTTATTAAACCCACCGCTTTTAACGTGTCGTGTCGTGTTGAAGGCGATTTTCCACCCCAGCTTGCCTCGTTTGTATTTTACAAGTCTCCTCGGCAGGAGTCTCTGCTGGCTGTCAGAATTGCAGGATAGATGTTGGGTGTCTTTACAAAACACACACACACACACACACACACACCCTTGGCCGATTCAGGGGAAGCGTCCAGTCAGAACAAAATGAATTCGCCAACTTTGGATTGCCTGCTAAAGAAAAGACTCCGGAGTCGCCTTGGAGTGGAGAAGGGTGGCATCAAAATGACAGCCAGTTCTCGACTTACAACGCTTCATTTAGTGACCGTTCAAAGTTACAATGGCGCTGAAAAAAAAATGTGACTGACCACCCCTTTTTCAGCCTTAGGACCCCCTCAAGCTCACGTGATTGACATTCGGGTGCTTGGCAGGCAACCGACTCACATTTATGACGGTGGTGGCGTCCCGGGTTGCTCACGCGATCTCCCCCTTTTGCGGCCTTTCTGACAAGCCCCATCAATGGGGAAAGCCAAGGTTCACTTAATGACCGTGTTACTCATTTAAGAGCTGCAGCGATTCACTTAACAAATGTGGCGAGGAAGGTCGTGGGGCAAAACTCGCTGAACCGATTTCTCACTTTGTCGCATAAATTTTGGGCTCATCTGCGGTCGTAAGTCGAGGACTACCTGTGATTAATTAATTAAAATTTAATAAATAAAGGAATGGTGTGCACAGGCCTTTCTTGTTTCATATCCTCCCTCTCTCTCTTCTCTCTCTTTCTCTCTTTCTCTTTCTCTTTCTCTCTCTTTATTTTTTCTCTTTCTCTCCTCTTTATGTCTTTCTCTTTCTTTCTATTTTTTTCTTTCTCTTTATTTTTTCTCTTTTTCTCTTTCTCTTTATGTCTTCCTCTTTCTCGTTCTCTTTCCCTTTATTTTTTTCTCTCTTTCTCTATTTTTTCTCTTTCTCTTTTTCTCTCTATTTTTTTCTCTTTCTCTCTTTTTATGTCTCTCTCTCTTTCTCTTTATTTTTTCTTTCTCTTTCTTTTTCTCTATCTCTTTCCCTTTTTCTTTCTCTCTTTCTCTTTATTTCTTTCTCTTTTTTTCTCTCTTTCTCTTTTTATTTCTCTCTACTTTTTCTCTTTTTCTCTTTTTCTCTCTTTTTCTCTCTCATTTTCTCTCTTTGTCTTTCTCTTTCTCTCTTTCTCTATTTTTTCTTTCTTTTTCTCTCTTTATTTCTATCTCTTTCTCTCTTTATTTCTATCTGTTTCTCATTCTTTCTCTTTCTCATTTTCTTTCTCTCATTCTACTCACTTTCTCTCTCTCTCATTCTTTCTCATTTTCTCTCTTTCTACTTCTCACTTTCTCTCTCTCTCTCATTCTCGTTTCCAGCTTATCATGAACCTGCTGTCTGGCTGCTGAACCCAGCGTCCCCCCCGTTGCCATGACAACAGGTGATTGCTGCCACCTCCCCGGCTCGCTGTGTGACTGCCCGGGCAGTGCCACATTGTCCAAGTCCGTAGAAGATTCGGATCTCGGGCGCCCCCAGTACGTTACCCAAGTCACGGCCAAGGACGGCCGACTGCTCTCGACGGTCATCAAAGCCCTGGGCACCCAGAGGTGAGGCCGGTTCAATCCTCGGTTAGTGCTGGGGCAGCCGGGGGGGCTGGGGGGGAGCCAAGCAATGAGCAGGAGTTGGATGGGCACCTCCGATGGTACAACAGTTGGAAGGAAAATCCCTCTGGTTCAGTTCCAAGCCGAGAGAAAAAGACTGGAGATAACATGGAGGCTAATTGGAAAGAAGGACCAGGGGAGACACGATAGCAGTCTTCCAACATTTGAGGGGCTGCCCCAAAGAAGAGGGAGTCAAGCTATTCTCCAAAGCACCAGAGAGTAGGACAAGAAGCAATGGGTGGAAACTAATCAAAGAGAGAAGCAACTTAGAACTAAGGAGGAATTTCCTGGCAGGGAGAACAATTAATCAGTGGAACCACTTCCCTCCAGAAGTTGTGAATGCTCCATCACTGGAGGCTTTTAAGAAGAAATTGAACAACCATTTGTCTGAAGTGGTGTGGGGTTTCCTGCCTAAACTGGGGGTTGGACTAGAAGACCTCCAAGGCCCCTTCCAACTCTTGTTATTCTATTGTATGTGGCCTCCGAGTCAAAGAGAACAACTTTCCATCAGCCCCATGGGGTTCGGTCACGTGGCCGACTGACTGGCCACATCGGGACGATCAAGGCTTAGCGTAACCCCGAAAGAAAAAGGCGTAGGGTGCCAATTACTTGAGTGCCTTGACTTTACCCCTTTGCGTGCAACAAGGACGGTTAAATACCCTGAGCAGATCAGTCCATTGTTAGTTTAACACTAGACAACCTATGACTTGTTGGGTCCTTGTTCCACAGGCATTTCCTTACTTGGACAAAGAAACGGAGTGAGCCTAGATGGGCAAAAAAAAGGGGCAGGGAGAGCAGGATTGACTCCCTGCAGGTTTCCCCATTGACTCCCTGTGGGAAAGCCTTCAGGCAGCCGCCTGAAACAGACACAAGCTTGCCGAATTTCAGTCGCACAAGGAGGGATGGGTCCCAAATTTTGGATGCGCTCCTTAAGTTAGCCCAAGTTTGAAGTACAGGTAGTCCTCGACTTAATGACAGTTCGTTTAGTGACCGTTCAAAATTACAATGTCACTGAAAAAAAGTGACCACTTACGACCCTTTTTCACACTGCAGCATCTCCATGGTGACGTGTTCAGAATTCGGATGCTTATTTATTTATTTATTTATTTAATCAAATTTCTATACCGCCCTACTCCTGAAGGATTCAGGGCGGTGAACAGCCAAGATAAAATACAGATAATACAAATATTAAAAATCCCTTAAAATTATTAAATATTTTGGCTGAAACACAGATTAAAACACCCAATTTATAAAGTCACGAATTAAAAATTTAAAAAATTTAAAAGAGGGGACTTAGGCTTGACCACTGGTTTATATTTATGATGGTCGCAACATCCTGGGTGTGTGTGTGTGTGTGTGTCACGTGATCCTCTTTTGTGAGCTTCTGACGGGCAAACTCCATGGGGAAGAAGCCAGATTCACCGAACAACGTAACACAACACATCAAAACTCCGAGGCAGTTGGATTCCTCAAGGAATAGATTTATTGGATATGTCATATTGGCACAAGCTGGTGAAAACCAACTGTAAATGATCCCGTGGTTTTCGCCTACCGTATTTTTCGGAGTATAAGACGCACCTTAGTTTTTGGAGAGGAAAAGAAGAAACAAGCTGATTGGTGGTTGGATCGGCCTCCCGGAATATCCCCAATCAGCTGTTTCCAGAGGTGAATTTTAGCAACAGGTTCCTTGGTTGTGAGCTCTGTGCCTTGCTTTTTTTTTTCTGCCTCTGAAAGCCTCCGAAACAGAGCTTCAGAAAAAAAGGCTTTTTTTTCTGAAGCTCTGTTTGGAGGCTTTTTTTCTGAAGCTTCTTTCAGAGGCTTTTTTTCTGAAGGACTATCTGTACGCTGTTCAATCTCCTTTCTTTGGTATTGGTATGTAGATTAACCTCTTCCGATCTGTTGGTTATTCTCCAGATTTGTTAGCACAGTTTGGTTAGGGCCTTTACTGATTCTTCTTTTGTTGCTTGCCATATTATTTTAGATAAAAGCCTTTCAGAGGCTTTCGTTTCTGAGGCTTTTTTTCTGAAACTCCTTTCAGAGGCTTCTTTCAGCCTCTGAAATCTCCATTTGCAAGGCTGGGCGGGGCTACATTCGGGGTATAAGACGCACCCAGATTTTCACCCTCTTTTTTGGGGGAAACAGGTGCCTCTTATACTATGAAAAACACGGTAATTAAAAGTAAAAGTTCTTTCACTTCCTCCCAACAATCAGTCCCATGGACCAATCAGGATACAGTCCAGTTGCTAGGAGACGCCAGCCCCCTCTTTTGGGGTGCCTGGTGGGAATGTCCTTGGTTCCCAAGAGAAAGTATTTTGTTTTGGCTGTCTCTACTCCCCCCTCCCTTTCCCACAGCTCCAGTTGTGGCAGCACTGAAGGGTCACAATGGCCACCGCCAGGTCAGCTTCAGGGTCAACACCAGGTTACCAATTTAACTGCAGGGAAGAAAAGCCGTAAAACGGCACAAAACCCACTTAAGAAATTTCTCCCTTAGCAACGTAAATTCTGGGCTCCGTTGTGGGTCGTAATCCAAGGACTGCCTGCACATTGATTCCAAAAATCACTGGCCTAGGATGGGCTCTTTCAGCCAGTGAAAGGTTTACAAAACAGAAGAATTTGAGCAGCTGAATAAATCAATGCACCCAACTGGAATTTGGTGCTGGCTTCTGTCAGTGTCGGCCAGACTAGGGTGGGCTTTCTCAGCCCAGGGGTGAAAGGATTTTTTCAAGCAAGGTTGCAACACTCTTCCCATGAGGGACGGGAAAACTCGCCTCCGTTTCTCCTGGAGAATCCGGTTGTGATTTTCTTACTTTGATCCCTTTCCAGCGATGGTCCGATCTGTCGAATCTGCCACGAAGGTGGGAATGGGGAAGGCCTGCTTTCACCCTGCGACTGCACAGGCACCTTGGGCACCGTCCATAAGAGCTGCCTGGAGAAGTGGCTGTCTTCCTCCAACACCAGTTACTGCGAGCTTTGCCACACGGAGTTTGTGGTGGAAAGGCGGCCCCGGCCTCTGACGGAGGTGGGTATGTCTCCCCTTGGCTGCTACCGAGAGGGGAAGTCTTTGGGGGGGGGGATGGTGTGTGTGTGTGTGAGTGTTTGTCACGTGCGAGGAGAGAGTTCTCTTGACCCATCTGGGACTGACTTCGATGGGTCGGAGGAATTGGAAGAGCCTCCTGATGCCACCCATCTCAGTATTCTTCCGGGTGGCCTGCAATTGTTGTGGTCTGCCAGTAGCCTGCAGAGCTGGCAGCGGAGTCGGACAGTGAGGAGTCTGGGGAGGAACATGGGCCAATCCTGGAGTCTGGGGAGGGCTCTGATGAGGGCTCTGCGTCGGAGGCAGAGATGGGGCCAGGGCCGGATAACAGGTATCATCTGCCTTCGGAGGCAGACATCAGTGAGGCAGACGAACAGCTGGAGCCTGTTCCCAGTGTGCGCATGTGCAGTGTTGCCAGACAAAGGGAACAGCTAAAGAACAAGGGTCGACTTGGGAGTAAGGCCTGGAGATGATTGGCCCCTCTCATAAGGCTTAAAAGAGGAGCAAAGGCACTTGGGCCTTTTTGGCAGGAAAGCAAAGTTGCTAACTCTGTTTCCAGTCGGCATCTCTTGTTTGTTTCTGAACTTTGTGGGGCTTTGCCAAGTAAGGCCTTTGGCAGGGTTTCAAAGAAGATAAAGGTTGGTGATTTTCCCAAAGGACTTCTTCCGAAGGACTTGCTTTGCAACTAATTGGGACTCAGCTGGGAATTAACATAATTCTCAGCTGTTAACAATAAAATAGGTTTATTTGGGACTAACAACAGCGATGACCTCTCAGGTGCCACCTCTCAGACCGATGTCAGGCAGTCCTGGGCAGGACACATTGGCAGGAGGAGGCATCTGTGTGAAGATTTGGCCGCTTGAATCCTTCCTCCTGCCCCCCCCCCCCCTTCAACTCTCCCCCCCCACCTCAGATATTCCCCTTCCTCACAACGTCTGAAGAAGATACTAAGACTTTAGAAAGAGGGGAGAAAAAAAAAAAAAAAAGGGGATTGGGGGGGGGGGGGTTGGAGGCTAAAACACGCGAAGAACGGTTGCAGGAATTGGGAATCTAGTGAGAAGAAGGACCAGGGAGGACATGATAGCAGTCTTCCAATATTTGAGGGGCTGCCACAAAGGAAGGGGGGGGGGTTTCCACCTCTTCTCCAAAGCCCCTGAAGGCAGGACAAGAAGCAACGGATGGAAACTAATCCAGGAGAGAAGCAAATCCTCAAAATAATGAGGATTTTTCTGAACAGAACAATTCTTCAGACTTGCTTCCAGAATTCGTGGGTGCTCCATCACTGGAGGCTTTTAAGAAGAGACTGGACGGCCATTTTGTCTGAAATGGTCTAGGGCAGGGGTCCTCAAACTTGGCAGCTTTAAGACTTGTGGGCTTCAAGTCCACAAGTCTTAAAGCTGCCAGGTGTCAACTTGCAAAGCTTTCAAGTTGCCATGAGCAGGAGGGAGGGAGAACTGATAGAGCTGATTGATTTCCCTAACTGAAGTGCATTCCATACATTCTTCCTGACCGCAATCAGAAGGAGGGTGTTGGATTTCACAGCCAGCCAAAGTGGTTAATTGGAGAATGTGATTTATGACATGGCCAGAGAGGAGGGGAGAGACAGGGTCATAGGGGAACGTAAATCTACATGGGATTAGTTCTAACTGCATCCGAATATTGCCGAAATGGTGCTCCTAATAAATGACTGTATTTCTTTTGAAGTTTGGATCATGGCTCATGAATTAATTAGGGCATCTTTCGGAAACTTGACACCAGGTTTGAAAGCCTCTGGTCTCGGGTCTCCTGCTTGTGCAGGGAAGGCTGGACTAGAAGACCTCCAAGGTCCCTCTGAAATGTGTTATCCGATGTTCTCTTTGTCCTCCCACTGCAGTGGCTCAGGCACCCCGGACCCCGCAACGAGAAGCGGACGCTGTTCTGTGACATGGCCTGCTTCCTCTTCATCACCCCGCTGGCGGCCATCTCGGGCTGGCTCTGCCTACGGGGCGCCCAGGACCACATGCAGTTCAACAGCCACCTGGAGGCCATCGGCCTCATCGCCCTGACCATCGCCCTTTTCACCATCTACGTCCTCTGGACCCTGGTCAGTGCTCACAGGACCGGCTGGCCTGCCTCACGCTTCCGATACTGTCAGTTGCGCCCCTCCGGGAAGGGCCTCGGCTTTCCGCCTGCAGTTCCTAAGAGTTCCCGGGAAGGAAGCCTTAAAGAGCCGGTCTTGCCTACACTGGGGGGGGGGGGGAGGACCCCTCTTTGTCCTGTCTGGGTGTTCTTTCTTTGCTTGCCGTGGTGGAGCTGCAAGGGACAGAGCTGCGGATGTTCCCGTGGGGCAGGAGAGTGATTTCTACATTCACGGGGAGCTTAAGAGGTCCAATTTCCTTGGGTTTTGTCCACTGGAAGGACGGTCAGCAATTAAGACGCTGGCTGCCAGGGTTCCAAGGAATACACCCGTAGCAAACAGAACTCCGAGGCAGTCTAGTTCAGATGTATGCATGTATATGGCGAGAAAAATTAATCTGGCGAGTTGGCCAGATGGATGGCATAGGGCAGGGATGGCTAACCTTTTTGCCATCGCGTGCCAAAAGCGTGGGGAGCTTGGAGGGGGGGCGGTCGCGTGTGCACGTGCCCACACCCATAATTCAGTGCCCCTCACGCCACGCCCCCCCCCCCCCCCGTCCAGGGGGCCCCCCCCCCGCCCCCCCCCTGCTTTTGGCACACAACGGCAAAGAGGTCACCAGTGGGCCCGGAAGGCCTGTTTTATACCCTCCCCAGGCTCCAGAGTCTTTCTTGGAGCCTGGGGAGGGCGAAAACTGCCTCCCCCTGAAGGTCCTCCGGCGGCCAGAAACCGTTTCCTGACTTCCGGTGGGCCCGGAAGGCCCCAAAATCAGCTGGCCGAGGCGTGCATGTGTGCTGGAGCTGAGCTAGGACAACGCTTACATGCCCACAGATATGGCACGTGTGCCACAGGTTCGCCATCACGGGCCTAGGGGAACAAAGCTCTTACAGAATCGGGGAGTCCTGCTAGAAATACTCCAAAACCCCCTCCCAGAGGGGAGCGACCGAAACAGACCCTGGAGTGGGTGTGGGGGGGTCTCTGTTGCATTACACCTGCTGATTTCTCCACTGCCCAGAGCATCCAAAGGCCAGCCTCCGCAGCCTGCGGCCGTAACATCGTCCACTTCATGGCCTTCTTCCTTCTCCTCGCTCCCCTTCCTCAGCAGGGGTTAGCACCTGTTGGGCCTCTCCTTTCTCAGGTGGTTGACCCCATTCCTGATCTCCAGGGCTTGCAACAGGATACCCCTTGCTCTGTCCCCAGGAGAAAAGGCAGGGCTTCGGGCATTTGGCTCAGGGCTCAGAAGGTTTGAACCTGCAATGCCAGGCGTGCCCTCTGTGGCTTCCGATCCAGGCTCACTTCAGCTCTGGGATTTTATTTTATTTTATTTTATTTTATTTTGAATTTGTATACCGCCCTTCTCCCTGAGGACTCAGGACGGTGAACAGCCAAGTAAAAACATCAAGTACAAATATTAAAATACAGTTAAAATATATATATATAAATTTGGCCCCATTAATTAAAAATAATAAACAAAACACTTAAAAACACTTAAAAAATTCTCACTGCTCTCTGGGCTTGATGCTTTCCTTACAGACCAGGGGTGAAATGCTCCCGGTTCAGACCGGATCGCCCGATCCGGTAGCGGTGGAGGTGGGTGGTTCGGAGAACCGGTAGCAAAAATCCCTTCCCCCCTCCATGCCTGGTTGAGCCGCGCAATCATCAGAGGCTTTTTTAAAAAAAATTTAAAAGCATTTTTCCTACAACCTCTTTGGCTGAAAAAAAAGTTTTTAAAAGTAAAAAAAAAAGCCTCT